GCTTTTCCATCTTGACGATTTAGTCTCATATGCTTATGAAAACGCTCTCTTATTCGGTATCTTGTAATGCAGAACTTATTTAAGTCTTGAGAGCATTTCTTCACGAATATTAATCAGTGTTCCATACGTTTTTTGCGTTTGCTCGTGAGTCGTCAGCATACGGTAGTATTGAATCTGATGAGGTTGAGAAAACAATAACAAAATGGATTCTTCGTGCGCCGTGGTTGTCAGTTTATTGAAATTCATTGAAACAAATCGCAACGAATTTGGAATATCCAGTTTTTTCCCATACATTTGAGAAATTTAATTTAGATTCTACGATTGATCTATCGAATGGATCTGACCTCAGACTCGATTGAAACGCTATCGTCGCCCGAACCGTTCAGCAGTAACAGTTCACGATCACCACATTCCAGTCCAGAACTGAAATTCTCCATTCAGAATATTCTCGATCCGGATTTCGGAAAGGTTTCTGCTTAGCCGTTTTCATTCTGCTCATTATTATTGCACTTATACAATTCATTTACACCACATAACTGTATATGATTCGAATCGTTCATTCAACAGCACGATTTGTGTGGTTTTCGTTTAGTGAAGAGCAAATTTTTGACTGTCCTCTTAACATTCGTACATTTGCATTGTTATGATGTAAAGCAAATTTCGTGAGTGATTTATTTTCTTGATTTCTTGTAGCATGTAAAAGGCTCAAAAGCGAGTAGTTCGAACAGTTCACAAGAGAATATCGGTATACCATTCCCTGCTTGGATTTATTGTACGCGCTATTCGGATCGACCAAGTTCTGGTTAGTTTTCAATTTGCATGTATTAATCTATCGAATGGATCAATTTCGGCTATTTTTACAAAATTGCTCACGATCAGTATTTTCAGGCTCAATATGGCGTTTTCTGTGTATCTGATTCATTGAATGCATGTTAATGACTGTTTGACATGCATAAGTGCTTCTGAAACACATTATTAACGAGAATTATTTGAAATTTTGGTTTATACATTCCAACGTGAGAACCTCCCAAATTCTGATTTGCAAATTAGGTTCAGGTCCGCGATGTCGTCGAACAAAACGAAAAGACTCAATCCATCCAAGTGAGGACGAGAAACGACCTCGGACTGCGTTTACGGCCGAACAATTGGAGCGATTGAAGGAGCAGTTCATGGATAATCGATACTTGACAGAGAAACGACGTCAGGAACTAGCTCATGAACTCGGTCTTAACGAATCGCAAATCAAAATCTGGTTTCAGGTACGCTTTTCACATCGTTTATTTCACTGATTTTTACTTTTCATAGAGTTTTCTTTGCAATTAGTTTATGTCATATTCATTTTTTGCTTTTTTTAGTTTATTCTTGAACTGTTATTTATAAAATTCCGAACGTCTTTCTTGTGGACTGGTCAATGCTGAAGTGAATCATTCAAAATAAATACCTAGCGAAAATAGGACAAGTCCTCTAGAATGAATGATAATTTGATGTGCCTCAGACACATACTTTTGAAAATTTCCTTCG